GGATGCAAAGTTTCAGAGTTTAATTTAGCTGGAAAGGCTAAACATTCTGATCTGATTCAAAAATTGCAAAGCTTCCCAAGATGCTCCCCCCATGCCGTAGTTCTTATTGATTAGTTCATTTTTTTCTTTTCAACTGAATTTAGTGATTATGAAGTGGAATGCTAAAATATTATAAGTGGTATTAGACCATAACAAAACACAACGTGCCTGTAATAATAATTGTTTGCAGCTCTATATGACTGTTTCTCCAAAAATCCTTAGCCGGCCTTTACCACATGAGTTTGGTTATTAGGCGTGCCACTTGCTTTGTCCAAAAACAAGAAAACAGGGTTTTCCAGATGACCATTTTCCTTTTTAACGATCGACATCCAATGGAATGGTTGGAAAGAATGTCTATGAAATAAATTGCGTCCTAGACGATGTTGCAAAACAGAGAGTGGAGTTCTGCAAAATGGATTACTAATTGCCTTAGAAACCTCTAAGGACTTTACAACCACAAAAGTGTAATAACAGCTACAAATCCTAAAATTAACACAAAATTCTAAGGCAACTAATTTAGTATAAGGTCAATAAATGAAAACAACATGCCATAAAAATAAAATTCGCAGGAAAAAGAAAATGTAAAATCACAGACAATGACTTCTATTACGCAATCCATAACAATTAAACTTAATTATTTGTAGATTTAAAATAAAAATAGCTAAACTACTTGATAACTAAAATTGAAGAAGAATTTATGAAATAATTAAAGTTTGAAAACTTATAAATTTAAATTTGAAAAATAAAATTAAATAAACTGCATGTCTGGCTGTTGTGTAGAAACAAAAGAACAAAGGCAGAAAGCATTCAATCTATTTGCACGAACAAATAACATAACTGAATTCATAAAAGAAAGAGGAACTAACCAAATCAACAAGGCAAACTTGTTTTGCAGGCTGAATTGCTTCTAAATACTTAAAAACTAACCTAAATTGAATTCTTTGAAGAAAGATAAGAACAAGAATGAAAAACCTAAACTAAGGCTATGAACAAGAGTAGATCTTGCAAACTAATCTGGAAACTATTGCTGAAATCTGAAAAAAACAGTTTGAAAGTTGAAAAACATGCTCTGGGCAGTGTGTGTAGGGTAAGTCATCTGTAACTGATTTCTTCCTCCTGTTTTTCTTTTCTTCGGTGTTGGGAAACCTCCTCCATGTTTCTCGACTCTCTCCCACCATGATCAAGTAGTGGAGGTTCCATGTTTGGCAACTGTCTGGCAGTTGACAGTTTTTACTCAATCTTATCTCCAATAAAACCCTAGAGATACTCTCCTCCTAAAAACTCTTAACTTCCTAACTTAAATCAAACTCAAATACCATAAGTTATTTTATCTCCTACCACCTGAAATCTAGCTTCCTTATAAATCCATCTGGGCCCTTAAATTGTAATCCAACCTAGCCCAAATCCAACCTGCTAACTTTTCTTGATAATTGGGTTTCAACTTGACATGTGGCTTCTCTCATTGGTTTATTTTAGGTGTAAACAATGACTATATCCAATCAGAGATTGTTAGCCTTGAACCGTATAACAAAGTCCTTGAAAATGATCTTCAAGCATGGATGTTTTCATTTGATTCTTTTTTCATTTTGGACTTTAAATTGCTCACATTTCTTTATGACATTTAGAAGCCTGATCAGCAATAGCATCAGAATTGGTTAG